GTATTGGATTGTAGCGTGATGCACGAACCTACCAATTTTAGATATTCAAGCATAAAGTTTATTAACTGTTTTGTTATTTTGTTTAATTCATTCCACTTAGTTTTCCGTTTATTGTCAACTGTTAATTTCCTTTCGCTGTTATCTGATGAAAAATAAATAAACTACATCCCGGCTAGGAGTATTTGTTTCTCAAAATTTCAAATATTTTCCAATGAATCCCACCAACGTTGACACATATCATTTTTCTCATCACGGGCAAATTACAATACCCCAATGATCAAATAAATTGCATTATTTACACATCGATTACACCGCTTAAAAAAACTGCATGTTACAAAATAATAACTGACTCGACAAAACTGGCTTCTGTTCGAAATTATTGACTTAATGCGTCACTGAAAAACAATGCGAGAATAACGACCAGTCATCAACACACGAATTGCATTTCTTAAGTAGCGATTACACGTGCAAAACCTTAAAACAATACAGTTAAATGCAGTGACTGTGCAGAATAAACAGGCACAAACTGAAGCACCCTGTACAAATGCATAGATAATGCATGCTAAACTATCCACTGAAACATTACACGCACCAGGACTTGAAAAGAAAGCAAATTCAAAAGAAAGCACTATAGAAAAGGTTATAAACGTGACTAACATAAACTAGCGACAATAAGAATATTACATAAAATAATTTCACATATCAAATGTTAGTTAGGTCGTTACAGATCATCTTGGCCTGCCTATTCCCGCTTCTATCGGTCGGTCTATCGATCTATCAGACATGGTTTGGCATTTCGACATCTTCAGAGATGATCAGGTGTCAATTCTGTGAAGTCAAGTCACACACAAACACACACACAAAATCGCTGACACTTCAACAAAGTCCATCACACTCTCACCTAAAAAAATTAATTACATCAAAATTTGCCAAAAACAAACTCCGGAAAATGCACAGTCCAGTGAAAAAGACTAAAAACGCGAATAACCCAAACTAGCGTATTATTTAAAACAAGGTATACAATGGTGATGATGGTAATGGGATAGTAGGAAGCAAACTGTCCAATAAAATTAAAAAAGAAAAAAATCAGACGTTGTGTATTCTTCTCTTTTGCTGCCTTTTGACGTACTGTGCTCTTCCAGTTCCTTTAGTTCAATCGAATCGACCGTCTTAAAAATATTAGATCATTGACTGCTATTGCTGCAATTATTTTTTGAGTTTTTTCTTAATGTCTTAGGTTATATCTCCATTGAGCAGTGGTTCCCTTCATTGCACAGCCTAAAATGGTTCATCATTGAATGTACCCATGCTAAGTAGATGTTTTGTAGGATGCCAGTAGTTCCTATCACTTCTCTGAGGTTTACCTTGCCTAACGATAGCAATGTGTTTTCTACTTTTGGTGATAGGTCTTTAATCAAAAGTTTACTGTTAAGAAGTTAGGGATGTGTAGGTTAAGTAGGAAGGAATATGGATAAATTATGTTGGATTTAACTTAAGTAGGATTAGGTTTTAAGGACTGGTTAGGTAGGACAAGGGTTAGGTTTAGGGACATGTTATGTAGGTTAGGGATAGCTAGATTAGGTAAGGTTAGAAATCAGTTTACTGTGTCTGGCACCTCTAGAAGTCGTCGACTTCTCTTTTTTTGTGGACTCATTCTGAGATAGAGGAATCTGAGTTTGAATTTATTATCCTGTATGTTCTGGGCCAATATATTGTCTAGGCAATTTATCTAGTTTTTCATTTCCCTGAATTTCTTTGTGTCTTGAATGGGGATATCAGACAAGTTGCCCATAGTTTGTATTGTTGCATATCAGTTAAACAGCCAACAAAAACCAATAAATGTACAAACCAGCCGAACCAACACATGGCTGTGCAGAATGCTGCGAACGAATCTGTGACAGACCAAACTAATAGGAATGGAAGCAAAGATGCTTCTTTCCAAAATGCAGTGAGAATAAGCTTACCAACAAGATTCTCTGCTAATTTCTGGTACAAAATTTTAAAATGAAATAAATAATTAACAAAATAAAGTAATTTCACTTAGTAATTCAATGATCTCGTTGGTGAGATAAAAAAGGTTGAAAGAAAAAGTAAATTTATATTTTTGCATGCTGCTTAGTCTTGAATGCGTAGTCAATGTGATAATGTCTACCAGTGCAAATAGGATGCCCTTCTTGGTAAACATCCCCCTCTCAGCCCTCACCCTCACTTTTGTTGGATAATTCATAAATACATATTTGGTTGTTTGACTAGCTGGAACTAATTTTCGCATTTGCGTCAGAAAACAAACAACCATGGAAAAAATAGATTGTCAGTATTGATGTACATGAAAAATTCACACTTCATTTCTACTTTATGATAAAAAAAGATTATGGTGTTTAATGTCTATATAAAAAGGAAGTAATGTAATAGTAATTTGTTAAATGGTCCTTTAATGTAATAATCACCTTTTAATTAGATATAACAAACCATTATATCAGTTATGTATTTACTATTTTACTGTACTATAGAAACTGTCATGTTATTGTAGATGATGGTTTAAACAATTAGCTAAGTGCACATGCATAGAATCATTGAAAATCAGATCACTTGTAACGGGAAATTTTAATTAACTGAATTTAAAATGGTTATTATAACTTTCATTGCATTGCATATTATCGTACTTGCTTTGATTTATTTTCAGATGTTTAATTTAAAAGGTAATTATTTAAATAAAATGGTATTTATTTTTAGATTATGAAAAAAGCATCTAGTATTTAAAAAATTTACGTTTAAGTCACATTTTACTTTGATTTGCTAAGAAATGATAAGTAACTGTTGAAATGGTTTTCCAGTTGAATGAGAATTTTTTGATATATATATATATCAATATATATTTTGATATATGATATATATATATATATAACAAAACCTGAGTACTCTAAAATAGGTCTCTCCTTTCATGTTGCACACCATTCTCTCTCATCTCTTTTTTTATATAGCTATTGGTGTTCCACGAGGCTCAATACTGGGACCCACACTGTTCTCCATTTTTGTAAATACTTTGACAAAATAAATAAATGAGAAACTCATGCAAATAAAACACTTATGTTTATGATAGAACTTAAAAAAAATAAACATCAAAATTAGTTGCATCCTCTACACAAAGTGCAAGGCCCTTGATCTCACACAAAATATTGGTATTCAAGGGAATTGATTTCTAATGGTCCAGGTCAACAATAACTTGCATGGGAATAAAATTGTCTCCAAATTGAATTTCAGCGATCATACAAAACGTCTTGTGGGTGGTAAAAGCTGCAATCAGCGTCCTGTTCCCATTGATTAAAAAAAATCTGGTATGAACAATCGAGACAACATCCTGCTTTATAATGTGATCATCAAACCCTTTCTTGAAGTCATATATACCTGCCAAACTTAAAAAACACCAAATAATACAAAATGAATTTTAAACTTGCTACAGGCTCAGGCATTTATATAAAATTAACAGAGCAACATAAAACAATGAACGCATGACTTGGATTAAAGAAGAAGTAGACAAAGTGGATATCTTGACGTTTGGGCTGGCTATCACCAGTGCTCTTGTGCCGATTCGGCCCACTGACACTACCACTTTCTTTTGCATTTGTGGTAGGATGAGTCTATATATATACACCATTTTTCAATGCCAAAAAAGGTCAGAAAATGGAAAATTGCAAGACTGTGTAACAGTTTGGCCAGTTTTGGTTTTATATTTAATTCTCCTCGATTATGTGCAGTTTAAATTAAATTGAAGTTAGTGTTTATTGATTGCCCATTATAACATTTGAGGAAGTAAGTAAAGAATTATTTGTCTTGGATGGATTCAAGATGTACTAGCTGAAAACTATCCCTCTTTGATAAATTATAAAATTTTTCTCCTTTCATACATTTTACAGGAGACCATGTCAAAGTTAATTACTGAAATTATGACTTTTCCCCAACCAGCATGCATTCCCGACATTGCTTTTTTAGACTACCACTTATTTCAGTCTGTGGCTCGGTAGAGAATATCAAAACCAAAGAAGTAAAAATGTGTGCCACCTAAAGACTCTTGGAAATGGTGAATAGGGCACAAAGTTTCTGGTATTGTTCAAGTTTTGTTACAGCGTTGGTATACTTTTACATTGTGGGAAAAGTTTCCTAACTGACGTCAATTATTAATAAAAAGTTTTAACAGTTATTGTACTACACTGGCAAATGAATATGTTGACATGGGATATTCTTTACAGCTAAAAATCTTCTGAATAAAAAAAAAAAAAGTTTGCCTCAGTTTTATTTCAAAGTTAAATGATCATTGTTATGGAATTATTAAAAATGAAAAGATATCTTGAGCATATTAAAGTGTTTAAAAAGACTCAAAATCGATGATTTATTCCTCTGTTATATTGTGTAGGGTAGTAAATGTCCTAACCTTAGGATATGGCCAATAAACTGAATCAAGGATCTTTCTTCCGCTCATATTGAAGGTTTTCTCAAGCAGGTTTAAAGGAATGATTGTTCAAATATTAATCGTAATGGGCTCCTTGTTTGAGAATATTCCACTCAGCAGTCGGATGTCACGAATAATTGACCATGTCTAAATCTCTTTAACCAATTTGTGGCCAAGTCGAAGAGGGCCTCCCTTTCTCTTCTGTTGATAAATGGGATACATGCAAAATAAAAAATACAAAGGAGACGTTGCAAAATGGAACTGCCTTGGTGTCAGAGGGGTGCAAAAAATTCCACAATACTATGGATTATAATAATAAAGATAAATTCTCTTTTGCACAATAAGAAACGCATACATTCAAAAAGAGCAATTCTTCTTGTTTATTGCTTATTTCTATCTTAAAAAGGAAGGCTCTATTCACATTTATGAGTAGAACCTTACTTTTAAATTTTTGAATTGATTTCTCACTACATCATACGATTTTTTAAATTCATTTTATTTTCATTATTTACATAATACTTAAATATTAATTGTTTCTTTTATTGTGTTTCAGGATTCACTCTGAGAACATTAAACCCAAGTGATGAGATGATCATGCTAATATCATATCCAGGCGAATTATTTATGAGGATTCTTAAACTTATGATTTTACCATTTGTGATTTCTTGTCTCATAATGGGTAAGTCAATCATGTTTATATTTATATCTTGAGAGCAGATGCTTTATTAAAATGCGTGAACTTTTTTCAGGAACTGCAACACTAAACATAAAGAAAAATGGGAAAATTGCTGTGAGAACGTTGTTGTACTTTATTTTGACGTCGTTGTTAAATGTTTTGCTAGCCGTGATGCTGACAACGTTAATACATCCTGGGGATCCACATTTAAAGCAGAACTCGACAATTGACCAGACAAAGTTAAATGCGATCAAGCCACTGGACAGTTTTCTCGATATGGGCAGGTTAGTTGCAGATATAAGGCAGATACGTTGGCCAAAGGATAAGCTTGACTAATGAATGTAACAAACATTTTTACAAATTCATAAAAAATACAAACAACAAAGCTTTCAAAAGCAAACAAAAAACGCCATACTTTCAAAAATTGTTTAAATATTTCGATTTGGCATTTACTTTATTTTTTATTTGCACACTAATTTTTATGTTTTGTTTATTTTGAGCATATATAGATGGCTTTTTTTTTGTAATTCATTCATTTTTTAAAACACAGCAAAATAAAGTTGAATTTTTTTATACATAAAACCACCACTGTATATAAATTGCTTCCTTATGACAAATCATTTTTAGTACCTTCAGGTGTTAAATTATTTCTATTCCAAAAGTTGATGCCTTATCAAATTAAAAAAAAATCATATTCCATGTTTCTTTCTTTTTTTTTCAATATGGAAACTAAGTGTGTAGATTAGATTATAAGTCATTAAGTGAAAATTTATGGAAGGCGTTCCCTTCCAAATAGACTGGGTGAGGCCATTTTTGTTACAGAAATCTTGTGCCTGACAATTTGTTCCAAGCTGCATTTGAACAGGTGAGTAAAAGTAGTATTTATGGCCAAATGATTGTTCAAATTGACTAAAAGAAAAATATAAAGTAAGGAAAACTACTGAAAAAATTCCTCAAACTTTTCAAAGTTTCACTAACTGGAAAAAAACATATCAAAAGGTTCATTAATATGTCTCATAGAACAATTTTTCAGGTTTGTTAATCATATTTTAACTCACTCTCTGATTAGTGAGAAAATTAACAACCCCTGAATATAAATTCCAATAGACATTTTTTTTCTCAACCTTTAAAATTGAAATAACTATTTGAACTGATTTTTCAAAACATTACATAGGCTGTTGCATTATGTTACAGACATTCACAGTATATAATCCTGGGACTGCAAAACCACAGCAAGGAAATAGCTCTACAAATTCGTCAACCATCGTGAGAGATTTGAAATACAGGTAACAATTTCTAATTTTGAAATTTGTAAAATATAACTAATACACATCAGTAAATTAGTTTTCCTTAAATGCAATTCAAAAATGTACATTTGTATGTTTGTTATTAAATTCACTAATTTCGTGGTCCGCTTGACCAATTAATGTATTACAATTAATTGAAAAATGGCAAAAAGGAGGGAAAATTCAAAAGGTGGGGTTAAGATGGGAAGTTAGTGTCCGAGTGGATCGAGGTCACGATAGCTCAAGTGGTAGAGCAGCGGCGTATCTAGCCGAAGATCGTGGGTTCGAATCCCGCTCGTGCCATTGACTTTTTTTATCTCAGCTAAAAACCTTAATTATTTGTTATTAATGCTTATACATTCAGAAAAGGAATACTATTTCTACTGTTTGGTATATATTATTGTATAAAACATAATATATTCACTAAAATCTGTTTGGGACTGATATTAATAAATAATAAATTCGAATTAATTTTGATTAGTTTTAAGGTAAAATAACAACCATTCTGTTCAAATTTTCATTTTAATTTCATAATTTATATTTTGCACATGTATATTTATTTATACAGGAACCGAGGAAGCGTGAAGGTAAGCTAAGAGTGCAGTTTTTTTTTACCAATGTTAAATCTCTTCTTGAACACTAAAAATATCCTAAAGTTTATAAGAATATGTACACATTTTAATATGTAATAATGCAGTGAAACATTTAGTGTATATTAACAAATAGCACATATTGTCAGCATCGTCTCCTTGAACACTGTTATTGTTGTCTGTGTACCTTCTCATGCCATTGATGGAGAGATACTCAGACCAGGAGCATCTCGGTAAAACGATGGTTATTTTCTTGTCCTCGGCACATAAGTCTTCTTTACAACAGAAAGATGGATGAGGTGGCTAAAGCTAGGATGGCCTAAGTCCCAGACCTAATCACTACAGCCCAGCCCTGTCGCTAAAGAAGCGATTAAAATGGAATTAGAAGCATTAGAGGGCTGGATTGTCAGAGAAGCTCTCATTTATCAAGATTTTGGTCCATACCTGGCCTGAAGGTCTGAAATGTATAGGATGGATCATACACACCTGACTAAGAATAGGCCTACTTTTTAATATATTTATTTATTTTAATAAATCATTAATATTAATGTGTAGAGATTAGTGACCGTTAATCGATAATTATTCAGAAATCGTGAGATGCGGTTGGGTGTGATGTAGGTTTCAGAAAAACATTTTCTTTATCGTGCCAACGTTTCGATCTTTTATTGAGATCATCTTCAGGTCTCAAAGTGTTTGTCTTCTGTGTAATTGTGCCATCCTTGCGTGTCGTGTTTGAGTGACAAACACTTTGAGCCCTGAAGATGATCTCAATAAAAGAACGAAACGTTGGCACGATAAAGAAAATGTTTTTCTGAAACCTACATCACACCCGAACGCATCTCACGATATCTGAATAATTAATATTAATTAATTTTAATAAGTAGATATATTTTATTGGCATAATTGAATAAAAATTGATTGATAAAATGAGTTGTTTTCAAACAGATATTTAATGAATTAAAATTATATATTATCAATCATTAAATTGGTTCTTTTATACTTTAATTATTGTTTTTTGTTTGTTACAGGAGTGGTACAAATACACTCGGAATCATTTTTTTCTGCTTGATCTTTGGCTCTGTCCTTGGCACTCTTGGCCCTCATAAGTCTATGTTGATAAGTTTTTTCAATGTTATTTATGAAGTGCTATTAAAAATGATGATGGGAGCAATTTGGTAAGGGCTGATTTAATTTTTTACTTAGGTATAATTTTTCTAATTTCACCCCACTAATCTTTAAGAAAAAAGGTGTTATCTTTCAGATTATTCTCTTTAGCATTTCACAGTACAAAAGGTATCACAAATATAGATTAATTAACTTTTAAAACCCTTCTATGTTTGATGTTCGAAGTCTTTCAGTACTTAAACCTAGTTTTTGTTAATGTTTTTTTAAATATTAACGGAGCTGCTTGTTTCAGGTTGACACCTTTTGGTGTTGGAAGTATTATTTGTGGAAAAATAATATCACTGGGCCAGTTGACTTCAACCATGGAACAATTAGGCTGGTTCGTCTTGACGATGGCTGCAGGTGTTTTTATATACCAGTGGATACTATTGCAGCTAATATACTTAATAATTGTTCGAAAGAATCCTTTCAAGTACTACATAGCTTTTGGCCCGAGTATTGTGACTTCATTTGCTACCGCTTCAAAGTAAGATTTAGATTAATTTATTTTATTGTAAAAGTATATATTAGACGTCAAAGAATATAGAGAACCATTATAAAAGTTTTCCTTGTCACTGGTGTCTTTAGTCTCCCTTTCTTCTTTCTGTGACTTAAAAAATACATTGCAGAATTGACCCTTTTTATATCCATACTTCAGAAAGTAAAGAAGCACTTCCCGATTGCCATTTTTTCCTAGATGTTAATACCGCCTTTCCAAAATGGCTGCATTTTTTCCAGGCTAACCCTTTGCAGTCACATAAGAATGTTTCGGTCTTAACTCTTTTCATTTTTTAACATGGAAATTAGTGGGCAATGTGTTCTACTTTTTCCAATTTGTCTTGCTTGCTGAGGGAGGTAGATTTTTGATTTCTTGTTGAGAAGTTGAAAAACTTCTTTGGCTGTTTTGTACCTGGTGAATAACCAGTGTTTAGTCATTCATTTCTCCATCAATTTGTTCAGTTCAACTTGTAGAATGCTTTGGGGCTTGCTAATTTTTTGTCCAAAGGTTGTGAGAGCTGCTTTTTCTATTTTATCAGCATGTGCATTGCCTTCAATCCCCTTCTGTCCTGGCACTCACTTCAGAGTTGATTTTTCAGTACTGCTTAGCTGTCTCAGTATATATATTGCACCTTTTAGTACCTCTTTTTTGTTCTCACTGAGTAATATTGTCATATTTTCAGCTCAGAAAATTTATGGCATGGGACCTGTTGATCTCATTAGGTCAAAATTTGGTCTTTAATAACTTTCCAACTCCTTGTTCCATTTTGCATCCTTGTATGCACGATAATATTACCTCTCTATTAGTTTGGTGGTTTTATTCTAACAAACATCTCTTGTTGATATTCTTATTTGGAAAGAACACTTTTTTTTTTTTTTTTTTTTTTTTTTTGGCAAACAATGTTGTATTGTGAGATTTCTCTTTGTAGCCTGCATGGTGATTAACCTGAAATTTGGTCATTAGGATCATTGGCCCTGAAAAGGGCTATTGAAATTTGATGTTCTTAATAGAATCGGTGTGCAAATTACCTGTTGGGCCACGCCAGGTTATAAAGCTAGTTATATATAGTCTATTCTATGTTTAATATTTTTTTACACATCTTTATAAAGTTTTTATTTATTTTCTCTATATCTATATGTAAAATTGTACAATTTCTTACATACATGAACAGTTATATATTATGCATTTGTATATTTGTATTATATTTCTTGGTAGGCTTTGTCTGAAAATAAAATATATATTTCTTACACTTAAGGTTTGGAATGTAGTGGTTTCCTAGATACTCCATTAGTATGGTTTTGGATGTCAGGTTAATACCAAGACCCATACAAAAACAATATTCGCCGCTTTTAACTTAAAACAAATTTTCAATTTATCATTATTGTAATTGACATTTTGTAACTCTTTAGGTCAGCGGCAATGCCGATAACAATAAGGACTTTAGATGAAAAGCTGAATATTGACAAGAGGATATCAAGATTTATAATACCAATTGGAACCATAAACATGGATGGAACTGCTCTTTTTATTACAACATCTATAATTTTCATTGCACAGATGAATGACATACCCCTAGATTTAGGAAGGCTTATAACTGTTGTGTAAGAATCCACTTTTTAGCGTTTTCTTTCAATTTTCATTTACTTTATCTGTTTTTACAACATGAATGATTGAATCAAAATTTTTTTAAAGGATTTCCTGTACTGTAGCAAGTATGTCATCGGCTACTATTCCCAGTGCAGCATTGGTACTTGTACTAATGTTGTGCAGTACAATTAATGCACCAGTTGATGATGTATCTCTCTTGTTTGCTGTCGATTGGTTTGTGTAAGTATTAAACGTCTATTACAAAAAAAAAAAAAAAAAAAAAAAAAAAAAAAAAAAAAATTTTTTTTTTTTTTTTTTTTTTGGAAAAAACCTTTTTTTTTTTTTTTTTTTTTTTTTTTTGGCAAAAGAGANTGTTTAGGGATCGGTTGAGGACTACAAACAACCTGCTGGGAGACTGCTACGCTTGTGCAGTTATTCAAAAATTATCGAAAAAGGAACTAACAGCTTATGCCGAGGTAACAGCACATTTTTTTTTCTTAATTTATTTTTTTTATTATTTAATTTAATACTGTTTAATTAAATAATTATTTAATTTATGTTGATTTAATTTTTTGTTGATACATTTTTCCTATCAATTCATTGTTTTTCACAAAATATCCTACAATATACAGACAGAACAAGATTTTCATGAAACGACACCTTTATCCAAGAAAGCAAGTAGAACTAGTCCTGAAGAGTAATAAAGAAGTTTTTATTAAGTGAATTTGATATTTATTTTAGTTTTAATAAACAGTTAAATTTATTCAATTTTAAATTTCTTCCAAACAGACAGTTTTTAACTATAAAATGCCCATGGTCCGAATAAAGTGTATTAATATTTTTTATATTTTTCATTTCTTTAACACTTTAATAATATAGTAAATAAAGTTTTTCTCTTAAAAATTTTTGGATCTCAACCCTAAAAAATCAATAAAAAATTCCATTTAAAATTTATCTTAAAATTCTATTTAATTTGATCCTTACTTATCATCTTGGTCTGCCTGTTCTTGCTGGGTGTGCATTTCATATATATATATATATATATATATAAGATATATTTCAGGATTTTTCCATCTTCACAGTGTCTCTGATAGATCAGGATGATTGTAAGAATCAAATAACAGGTTCATCACCTCGTTAACCACAGAAGGAAATCTCACAATACTTTCTTTATTGAAGAACAAAATATTTGTAAAATACATATTTTTACAGTTAGTCTAAGAGAATGAAGAAATTATGGTAGGATAGTGAGGGGGTCAGAAAATTCTGGCAGCAACAGTGGGAATTGAACCCACTACGGGGTTAATGAGCCAAGAATCTGACACCCTAACCAATTAGTTACCACAATCTCTACCTTAGAACATTTGATACAATTAATTTTGCAATTTTTTTGTGGCAATATGTTTGCACAATGCATCTCCTAAATCTTGTTTTTATAGTTTTTATTTATAGCAATAGCATTATAATAAGTACATATTACAAATGTGATCACAGTAGGTTATTTCACTGCACTAACAATAAGACCAGCACTGCACCCGGAGATCCCCCAATGCCGGCACTCAGCGTGAAGGATTAAGAGACAAAGAGGTCTCTAGGCCACTGTTGATTAAGACAACTATAGAGAGGGGGAAACAGAATTTAGACCAAGTAAAAAATGAGACGATAATCTACTTCTATCAATTTTTGGGTCAAAAAGTCAACAGCTCAAAGAGACAACTAAGAACGAGACAATTGACCAACTTGAACTGAATTGTTCAGATTATTTTACAAAGCCTGTTTTTTCTTTTTTCTTTCTTGTAGGAAACTTGTAGGAAAAGGGAACTTGATGGTCGATATTGGTCGTAGAAGTCTTCGTAGTTGTTCAAGTCTTCTGTTAAGTTGTCTTTTAAGTTTTGTTTGGGGATTTCTTCTTCTTTCTTGACTTACACCAAAAATTTTGCCAACTTTACTCCGTGGAGATGGATGGGGTTAGATAGTTTAATGTTAAATTGGAAATGAGCACCGCACTGTTAATATGGAAACAGTGAATTATAAAAAATAAATAAATACATAAATTATTTGAAGTTCGTGAGATGCGGTCTGTGTGACGTAGGTTTTAGAAAAACATTTTCTTTATATGTTCTTCATATAAACATAAAGCATCAATACCTGATTGACACTCTCAACCCAACACAGAAGAATGACACATCTACATGGAAAACAAACACTTTGATCCCTGAATATGATCTCAATAAAGGTTAAAACGTTGGCACGATAAAGAAAATGTGTCTAAAATCTACGTCACACTAGACTGCATCTCACGATCTTCAAATAATTATTAACTAACGGTCACTAAACACCGCACATAAATATGTAAAGTTAAAATAAAGCGAAATAATAAAAAAATTAAAGAGTTATCATGAAATTAAGTAGGAAGTAAGGTCACCTACACTAATGCTAATCCTGTATTAATTGGAGATTGTCACGCTCCCAACTTTAATTCAGGAGGCATTATAATTTAGGAGGTGATGAAATAATAATACCTATATATTTTTTATGAACATATAACACTTATCAACTAAGTATTTGACTTAAATGGAAATTGGTATCTCTTTGTTCGTGACATACAGTAGAATTGGGGATAGGTTATTGAACATAATAGACAAATGGAAGTGGAGATGTCTTTAGTTTATTTGTGGGGTGACTATGGAGGTTGGAGGGTAAATGGCTGTCTTGATGTAGATGTGTAATATTCAGGGTGTGTAATACCCTTTGCCGTTTGAGAGCTATTGTATACCTCGTTCTGTACATACAGCATACGAGTGAGTCCTAGTTCATCAAGAAATTTGACTAGTATGTCTCAATCTTTCAATTTTTTTCTCCTGTCGGCAAGTGTAACACCGCAGTTTGTTAGTCAATATATTGGTGTCTTTTGCATCCTTACAGAATCTGCATGTACTGTGGTGGATTACCAACCTTCCTTGAATGCTCATTCAGTCCTGTTCATAGTTTTTCTGCTTCCTTTGGTGCATTCTGTTCTTCTTTCTTCCAAAACTCACTAGAAGGTTCTAGATTATCCAAAGGCAATTCCACTATTGCCTAATTTTCATCTTGAGTAATTTTATTTTGCATATTTAATTTGTTGAATTTAGTTTTGCAATTTATCAATATTTTTGAGCTCTTAATGCTTGAGCTTATTGCTCTGATGAATGCCTAGCTATCCAACATGATAGCAATATTCTTGATTTTGTTTGTTGTCCTTTGTTCAAATTGAACTGATAACATCACTCAATTGCATGCACTTCAGCCTAGAAGATACTTGTGTACTTTTCCATGGGTTTGGAGTATTTGGGTCCAGGACTTAACATTTCTTGCATTCTAGAACCATCAGTGTACCAGGAGATGGTGTTGTTCTCAACAGAGAGATCTTTCCTTTTGTCCATTCTTTTTTGGAATTTTTTTTCACACCATCCCTGGGGCCCATGAATTTCTCATTAAGCTCTCTCCATTTAAGTTAGTAGAGTTGGATATTTTAGAAAACACAGTTTTAACCTTGTTGGAGGTTATTCTTTAATAACATTAATTGTTAATTGGGTTTTCGGTGCTTTCCTCAATGGTGTAGGAGATTATAGTAGTCCCAATAACTTCTCCATACTAGCTGTGGGACATGTCCTCATACAAAGAATTGATTACAGCTATTATCTATTTGCCGTTTGCACTTCTGTTTATGTGTTATTAGAACGTTGACAGCTTTGGGGATTCAAGAGTAACTTATTTATTAGATAGATAGTGCAAAATACTATTTTTTTTCTATATATATATATTCAAAATGCTTACAATTATTNTATATATATATATATATATATATATAAACTCAGCGAAAGGAACTGTTGGAATGATTCAATGGACTGGTACTTGTTAAAAAAAGTCTCAAGTTGATTGCATAGAACTAAGGAACTAGGAAAGTACAATAAGCCAAAAGGCTGCTTGGGGAACACAAAGCCCCAACATCCTAATCTCCTTATTCATCATCATCCATTGGATGCCACTCCGTACCATTTATAAATGGTGGCCAGATTTATATCATTATATTTATATCATTTATATTTATCATTCTAATAATATCTGCCTTTTACAAAATATGGCTGGTCTATTTGCAAAACCCCTACATATTATAAACCTTTTCACCTTTGAATTAAGTAATTTCAACTTTAACAAACAAAAAAATAATAAAAAAAATTAAATAAATAAATCACAACAAACAACAAAAAAGTATTTAAAATTTGTGGTAAAGTTTACCTGTATTAGTAAATTTGATCTTTATCTTGTTCTGCCTACCTTCGCTGTTTGTCTGTTAGATAATTTTCTGCATTTAGCCATGATCAGTGTGTCTGTGATCTGTGATATCAAATTACCAATCACAGACACATTGAAGATGGCAAAATCCTGAAACTTTTTTTAAACAGACCACCCCAGCGATGATAGTCAGGCCGAGATCAACTCTTCAAGATCAGGTAAGGATCAACCCACAGACTGCCAAAAGAAGTCTGACAATCACACTAAAACTTTCACTTTAATCTAACCTTATATGAAAAATAACTGATTTGATAGTTTAATTAATTAGTCATATATTCAAACTGCTTAGAAATTAGTCAATGTAGTAATGAAAAATTAATTTTAACAGGAACCTGAAACCACAACCGTTGTGAACGGAAACGCTGGCGTCGTGAGCAATGGTACTTGTGTCATTGATATCGTTCCAAATGAAAACCAGAGCACCAACATTTGAGGCGGACTTAATTTTTTCAACATTGATACTATTGACGGTATTTAACAAAGCCCGTTACTGAGAGGCTTAACATCAGACGATGTCACATGCTAATAAACGATTTGCATTGGTAACAAAATATTACAAAAGTTATTGAGCACTATCAGAGGTAATTGAGTTTTGTCGTATTAAAATTATTTAAAAAAAAGAAAAAAGGAAAAACTTGTAAATTTCTGTTATAGCTTAGTCAAATTGGAAAAGTATTTATATGCTATAATTGTATATAGATTTGTGACTTATATTTTAAATAAAGTGGATAATTTTCAGTCCCAATTAGTAATTAAAATGGTATTTTATAGTGTGATTCATTAATAAATAATACTGGAGGTGGGATTGTATTAGCCAAAATTGTTAAGGTGTCTATTATGTTCAGGTAAACAATACTGGTTCAATCCTGGTGTTTTTTAGAGATAAGGAAAATATAACTTTATTAGTGTAGTCTTAATATGTGACACCTTAATGGTAGTTGGCATAATAACCTATTACAAAAAAAGAAAAGAAAATGAAAAGATATGAACTATTTAGTATCTATATCTATTTAGTAGGTAAGAAAAAAAATAACTCTAAAGAAAATGTAGTTAGGGTTATATTCGCAGATACCAATAGTCTGACATATATGTTGGACAGATCTTTGAAAAAATACGAAAAATTATTATATTAAATTTTGGTGTCTGTAACAATTTACATATCAAAATTGTAAGTAGTATTTAGTAGGTTAAAAGGCATACATGGTTGGTAAAATTAAAAAAAAATCATTAAGGTTGTGCAACTTCATACCTTTTTGGCTGATATTATGAACATCATTGTTAAAAAAAAAAAAAAAATTGTGGAAAACATTTCTACCTCACTATTTTGGAGAATAATAACTGTTCTTAATGTAGTAATTTGAGGTCCAATAATTTCTAATCAATTTTAAATGCACTTACTAAAATTCTTTAAAATTGTAAAACAAAACAAAAGGAGTACATCTGATGAACTTTGTCATAAGCAATAACAGAAATAAAAAATATAATAAATTGCACTTAGAATTTTTCAAATATAATTATGCTTGAATTTTAACAGCAATTTAAAATTGATTAAATACACATATCGATTCTTGTTAAAATATACATGTGCTTACAAGTGTTTTACATGTAAATACTATCATAATTATTTTTCACAACCTTAATTTTTTTTGTTTATTGTACATTAACGATTGTTGTTTTAAGTTTTTCCTGAACGAACAGAACAGTTATTCATTACCTAAATCTAGTATTTTAGGTATGTGTAAAAAATTGTAAATAGTGAATTGTTGTATGATATTGTTGTCTGGTATCAGCGAATTAATATTTGGAAATAGTAATGACTTTGTTTAAACAATTTTTTTTAAAACTCTTGCATTACAAACTTCATAGACTTTTTGAAATTGTTTCTATAAAAATTATTGTCTTTTGTAAATCAGAATTCAAAAACAAAAATAATTTGTAGTGTGTAAATTTTTCGTTTTGTAAATTTTAGACCAGATAACTGTGATTTGGAATTTTGCCTTTATGAGTAGGCCTATTATCAAAGTTAGAGGCAAGGATACTGTTTTGTAAATTGTGATATAAACAATATAAAGATTTAGCGAGAAAGCAAAATTTGTTAATTAAGAAGTATAACGTATTCCTAGATTTGTATACAAGCATTTATTAATTTTGGAAAGAGTAAAAACAGATTAGAGAGAGAAATTTGACGATTGGGCTGCATTAATAAATGACTTTTTTACTGATTTAGGCTTTAAGTATAAATAATAAATTAAAAAAATTATATATATTGAAAAATATGTGGTGATCCATTAGACAATATTTAAATTGGTGCTCCATGGTATTGTAAAACAAGTTTAGATATATTGGTATACATGTAAACTTTTGAATTCCATGCATACACCTTTTTAGTGGATAAGTATTAACCAATTTTACAAAGACTTATCAAGAGTTGGAAGAAAAAAAAATTATTTTGAATTATACAGTTGAGTATTACTATTTATTATCGAGGGAAAACTTAATGTTTAATATTAACAGTACTATTAACATTAACTGGGCATAATTCAATGTTTTATAAATGTTCCTTGTGATGTTACTATATTTCATTATTGGAAAAAAATGTGAATCTTATCAAATTTATGAAGATTTTAGATAATGACTATTTCTTTATTGTGGTGATAATAAAATTCATTCAACTTCTTACAAAAAAATTGTACGTATTAAATGGATTATAAAATTGTAAAAAATGGAATATACATATAGTCAATTTGTTTTGTGAAGATGGATGGATTAAAAAAAAATAAAAAAATAAATACATTAACTTCAGTATAATTCTGCACGTAATGATTTTTCAGTCCTACAGATGTAGTTGTAAAATCACCAAAGAATCAAATTATAGCCTGTAAGTTGTAATTAGATATTATAGAGAATTATTATTTTTTCCTTTTGTGTAAGGAATAGATATTTTTATTCACTATTCCTTATGATTTGTATTGTCTTAAAAGTGAGAACAAAATGAAAACAATTTTTACAGAAAAAAAATTGTAATTAAAAAAAAGAAAGATCTTTGCAAATGTAATTTTGTATGAGAATATATTACTAGAAATTATTTTTAACTGTGTTACAACTTTGTAGTCCTCTCTGCCCCATTGAAAACACATGAAATGTAAAAATTGACAAAATTCTCTTTTTGTTATTCTTGTCAAAAATACTTTCCTACATTTAATTTATAATATATTAATTTAAGCGATATTGTCCATTTTCTCTTTTAAATCTGTAAAGCCTCAAAGATTATTGTTAATATTATATTTTGTAGATGTGAAGATTAAAAAAAGATATATTTTCAAGCCATTCAATATAAGTCATTTGTAGAAATAGACATTTTTAAAACCCTCCTCTTTCCCTTTTCAACGACTGTTTATTGATATTTATGTATTATACAAAGTACATAAATGCCCAAAATTTTTGTACAAAAAAATAAACAAACAAACAATTATAGGAAAAGATTTTTTTACAGTGAATAACATTCCGTGACGAAACATTTAAGAGTAATATAAATATAAAAAAAATTCCTTTACAAACATACAATTAATAACTCAGGATCATGCTATCATTCAAAAGGATGAATCAAAATGTTTTTTAAATGAATTAAAACTGAAAATTTTAAAAATTCATTATAATAATGGATGAAATGCTAAAAAAATGGAATAATGAAAAATTGAAAAAAAAAAATGAATCAATTATTTTATAATTCATATAATGAAATTGATATAAATAATAATTTTTTATATGCTTTGTGTCAATCTTATAGTCACAACCATTTCATGCAAGAACCTCACTTCTTTGGACATTTTATTCAATAGGACAAGTGTCTCGGTCCTCTGTAAACTGACATAACTTGTATATAATTAGCAAATTCAGTTGCTAAAGAAGTTGTTACTAGATTAATAATCACAGATTTTAATTCAGAAATTTCATCATAGTTGGAACAATGTTTTGAGAACCAGTGCAATATTACTGAAGCACACTCATAATAGTGAAAAATTGAATAGTACAGATTAACACTTCATACAGGGTGCGTTTAACTCCTGTTACCTTTTTTTTTATATTTGGGCATAAAAATGTAAATTTGTATGTATTGTCTAGTTTTTCAGAAGCCAAATATTTAACAAATCTCTCATTATGCTCTGCTCTCAAATGGTGTTTGTTAATAGTGATCTGCTCTTGGTAAATATGATTGCCTCTGGTTTAATTAGGTTTATTTTAAGTATTTATTTAGAAATCGTGAGATGCGGTCTGGTGTGATGTAGGTTTCAGAAAAACATTTTCTATATCGTGCCAACGTTTCGATCTTTATTGAGATCATCTTCAGGGCCTGGGATTTACAAACATTGTTTACATATAACAATTACATTTTGGATGTGGAAAAGTGAATTTATACAATGCAAAATATATTTTATATATTCAAACAAAGTATTTCTACTCACTCAAAGTGTTTGTCTTCTGTGTAATTGTGTCATTCTTGCATGTCGTGTCAAGAGTGCCAGTGAGATTTTGCTATTTTGCGTTTATACTGGCTCTCTCGACACGACACTTGTGTGACAAGCGCGTGTAATTGTGTGCGCGAATGACATAATTACACAGAAGACAAAACATTTTGAGTGAGTAGAAATACTTTGATTGAATATATAAAATATATTTTGCATTGTATAAATTCACTTTTCCACATCCAAAATGTAATGGTAATATGTAAACAATGTTTGTAAATCCCAGGCCCTGAAGATGATCTCAATAAAGATCGAAACGTTGGCACGACAAAGAAAATGTTTTTCTGAAACCTACATCACACCAGACCGCATCTCACGATTTCTAAATAAATATCGATTAACGGTCACTAATCACCACACGTTTATTTTAAGCTTCAGTATGTGATTATTTTAGCTTTTATTATAAAAAAGTAAAGAAAGTGTTTTAGGCAGATTGAGAATCAGTCATTATAAAGCCACCAATGGTCATCTGATAGTCTATTATATGAAGATGTACAAGCAACAAAATTGCTAACAAATCAAATTTACAATAAGGAAAAATTATGTGTTTCTTTACAATCCATGTTATAACACATTCTTGGTGACAGTCAAATTATAAAAATGATAAAAACCTAATGGTTAACAAGACCCTTTAATGATTGTGTGTGGTTTAAATAAATTTCAGTTCACAGAATCGAGATCTTGTCACTGATATGGTCATTTAGACTATCCTAGTTTAAACTTTTTAATAAAGAAAATTGGAGAATGAAGTTAAAATTAACGTCAAATAATTACTAGTTTTAATCTAGTAGTTATCAACAGGCAATGTGGTCTGGCTGACTTGCTGTTCTGCCTCCCAGTTGTAATCAGTAGTTATTAAAACATGCTACTTATTCTAACAGTGTTAACTTTAGGTATTTGAATAAGTATATTAAAAAAGCATATACTCTTAGCAACATTAGTTTTTAGTGGTTACTTGCACTGCTGGGAAAACTAGGACATGGCTTTCAAATACAAATTTTGACAATCCGGCCAACTGGGAAGGGAACAAACTGCCATGCAGTACGAGCAATGTTATTTTTCCACTTAAACACAAAATGCCTGTACAACTTGGGAAAGAATTACAGATTCACTCACTCTTCCTCTCAGACAATGGAGCCCTGCTCCTTCCAAAAAATGGAAAAATTACATTTACGAGTGAAACAAAAGATTCTTCTTGTGGCGGTGGAGGTAAGAATAATCACGTTGTAAAATTTAAATATTTATAATAGAATATTTACAGTTAAAAATGATATAATTAAATTCAATTTGAATTATGCATTATTTTCACATATTAAAAATTTGTTTCTTTCCTGTTATCTAAAAGTACTATAGAAACTGGAATTTACAAAGTTGTTTTCCTCATTTGATTTTTTGATTTTCATTAAATCAATCCATATCACAACTACCCCATATATGGAAACCGCTAACAATGTAAAGGAAAATTAACTACAAAACTTCTTCCTCAAAAACCTACCCATTAAAGTTAATCTCATAAACCAAATTCTCAATGATTGCTTGCGAAATGGTTATTTTCATTTAACATAGAAAATGCAGAACTGATTCTCAAAGTCCTGCAAATACAAGAAATTGGTCTACAACTATCACCCGATTAGTCTACTTTTATAGGGAAGCTTTACGAGAAGTGCATGAAGTCAAGGCTTAAACCATACGCAAAAGAAATCTTTTCTCAGGACCAATTTGGCTTCACTCCTCACTACTGGGCAACACACTAAATATACTGACTCACAAAGGACATCTTTAAAGAATCCTAAATATTATCTTTTTAGACCTTAAAAAAAGTTTTTGCAAAGGTTTGGCACCTATGCATGAAATATACACTGAAAAAGATGAAAATTCCTATTTATGTATCGTTTATGTATACAATAACAAGTAACGGGCTGTTGATGGCACCTTGTGAGACTCTACTTTAATGCATTTCTCATATGATAATTTATTTATTTTTTTTTTTTTTTTTTTTTTTTTTTTTTTTTTTTTTTTTTTTTTTTTTTTTTTTTTTNTGCGCCCTTCGGCGAGCTTGTGGTAGTTCTCTTCCTTTTGCCAGAAACGAGAACGAACCCTTCATCTTCATCAATATTATGGTAAGGTGTGGGGGATTGGGGAGGAGGGGTTGTGGGATTTTTTGTAGTAGGGAATTGAGGGAGAGTTAGGGTGTTAATATGGGGGGTTGGATTAGGAGGGGGTGTTGTTGTTGGGCTGGTTGGGCCCAGGTTGAGCGGAGTAGGCACTTTTACTCCTGGTTTATTTTCGTTCATTTTCATTGTTAATCGGCTGTTGTGTTTTGTCTGTAAAGTTGTATTGTGATATGTGTGTACAGTTCTCAGCCTTTGGAGTCGACCTCCCGGCCCGCTCGAGTGATTCTCCAGTCGCCCCACAACCTGTGTGGCCTCGAGAGGGCCCGCCGCGACGCCCAGCACGGTAACCATCCAGTCGCCAGCTGGCAGTACTAGGCATCACAACATTATACACGAGGTGATAGGACAGCCTCCCCGGTGGCTATTCCGGGGTTCGGGTCCCTGTACTACCTCGCGGCCCGGGAGTGCCGTAACCCAGTTTTCCTCCTGTACCCTCACAGGTGCAGGGTTCATGGACACTCAAGAAGACCGGGAGATCGCCACCTCTACATGAGAACTGTGTGTTGTTTGTGTGGTGTGTTGTGCACGGTAATTTGCGTTTGATATATTCGGGTTCCGAGGCCCTTGGCCGCGTGCATCGGCCTGTGTGTTTGTGGGGGCATGCTGACGGAGGCCCAGATACCATACAATTCCCCCGCCCTCACGCCACCTAGTGTTAGGTGTGGCGGAGTTATGTACGTACTGGGTCGCCAATCCCAGGACGTGAGATTTTTAGTTCATCTCAAGAACCTTCCTAGGGACGGTTGCCCTAAGGTGTAGATAATGTAAATGTACTTGTGTCAGTGTAGGTGTATGGGTGTGTTATGTATGTGGACGCAGTTTACCCTCATGCCCGGGAGGAGATAATTTATTGTCTAATTAACTGTTTGAGTTCTGTAGTAAACATATGACTTTATAAGAAGGAGTGAATCATTGGATTTTGTTAACTTTTCTATTATTATTCAATGGTTGACACATAATGGAAGACAGGGTACCTTCCTTTAGTTATTCAGAAAAACCAGTTAGTGAGAAATTGAGAAGTCTGGGACAGAAGCCATATTTTCATTAACCTTTTTATTTTTGTAATTATTTCAAAAAATTTTAAAAATCAAACGGTACTGTACAGTTCTATAAAATGGTAAATTTAATGCAAACTGTTTTAGTGTTAAATTAAAATAACATGTTTTTTGTATTTTTAAGACACCCTTTAAATAGAGGCTAGTGTAAAAGAACTAAATTGCTAAATACATAAAATTTCTACAGTTAAATAAACCAATTGGCCTTGGTATATAAAATGTTTGATGCAAAAGTTTACATCAGGATGTTACTGATCTGCCCCTTTTTGATTTTATTGACACATTGTTTAATATTGACTTTACGTCAATCTTTGTTAACAGTCATGATATTTTAATTTCTACGCTTCGAATTTGCTGACGTTCCATTACACAAATGAAGAAAAAATGGTTTTAAATAGGTGAATGTTGAAAGTGTAAAATTCTGTCTAGCCTGTAGTTAAATAATATTTTCCTTTACTAAGTGGTTTTATCTATGGTGAATGATGGAATAGCAGAGGTTTTTCTTGATAAGTGAAAAATGATCAGACTCGTGATTTACCTCTTGTGCTTAAGTACAATTTTAAAAAGAAACGTCCATGTAACTGTAATTCTTTTTCGTGCACATTTGTCACTACCGGGCACTGGCTCTTAGCAGTTGCAATTGGTAATGAACGGCTAATGTGTTTTCCCTCTTTCGCCCTCTAATGGCCTCCTAATGGCACGGGATTTCCTCGGCAATAACACCCATTTTTGATAAATAGCTTTCTACAGGGGGTGGTTTTCGTTGATGGATCAGGGCGGATCAAGACGACAAAAGGGTCGTATCAGATCCGCCAAACGGAGATTTTACTCTTATTTGGCCTGTTTTAATATCAGGGGTTTATTGAAATAATCACCGAGAAGGGTCGGGCATAATGGCACAGGCGCTACCAGGATGATTTTCCTGGTATAAACGTTACAATATTCCAATATTCCACCTTCCTCTCCAAACAACTCGATAACTTCTGAACGGCCCAATAGATTTAATGTAATCTTATACATAAAAGCCATGGTTGAAAGATATATCGGGCCGTGACGTCATTAGTGTTGTTTGATGGTAAATTCGACGAAAATTTCAGGTAAACAATATAATATTAACCTCTTGCCATCTTCCATATAATTTTGTAATTCCATTCTCCCAGAACTTGTCAGGTTTTTGAGCAATGAACTAACTCCTCATTTGTTGTAGTCCTTAAGTTAAGTAAAGCTTTTCATTTGCAGAGCCCAGAATAATTGAATCAGCAATTGCAGAGCAATTGTCAGACGAATACGGTGGGTGGGGTAGGACATTACAGCCAACTCCAACAATTTCTTGTTCATCTTTGGTCGTTTTTGATCAATTGCTTACTTTAATCCCTCTAATTATTTGCAGTATTCACTAGAATTAACGATTGGGCGGAAGCGTTTTCAACTGTCTACATCAATCTGCTATACACGTGATATGTCTCGGCAGATCCTCTGTGGCAACCGCAGGATACGGGTTAGAGGATAATACAGCTGTGTAATCGCCAAAAGATGCAAGGAGGAAATCTCCTCTAACAATAATCCAACTGCGTTCGTTACCTTGGGTTCCACCTAGACTCAAGCTTAACATGGAATAAATATACACAACTGAAACGACCTAGACAGATTATCCGGTCTACTGTACAAACAAAGGACGACAATACAATCTATCGACGAAAAACAAACTCAAAACCTAGAAAACAATACTACATCCGATTTGGACATGCGGTGTAGAACTGTGGGAAACCGCTAAACGTTCCATTATCCAACGTCTCCAATTCTTTCAGTCTAAAGTCCTCAGATCAATAATAAATGCTCCATAATTGTATCTCTAATATTACCCTCCACAACGAAATTAAAATCCCATTTATCCCAAAATTAAATCCCCAAAAATTTATCGTGTTCTACAATAATCTCTTCCATCGCCACAATAGTCTAGCCCAAGCTTTGTCCAACACAACTCATTCCTACACTTCCATAAAGCCGGGAACACACTGCCCCGATGCAACGCCATGCGACGCTACCCGACGCCTTGCCACGTTTTGGTAGGGTGTGCACATCTATGCGAAGTCAAGCGCACGTCACGTACAGTCACACAGCGGTACCACAATAATCACTCGCAATCGGAACGCCTCTTTTGTTCTTAATTCACTATTATGAGCAAAACCTTGTAATAAATTGTTAGTTAACTTTTATGAGCACAACCATGCAATAAATTGTTTGTTAAACTTAATTGTTTTAAATAATTCCTGTGTTTTGATAAGTTTTCTTCCTAACCATCATAATTAAATCATTTTTATAAAAACTTATGAATTTTTAATCTCGGTTAATTTGGTTTACATTAAAATAGAAATGTTGTAATTAATATAATGACAAAATTACATATACATAGTTTGAAATAAAATACAAAAACTATGAGTGTCCTGTTCTGAAGCTACTCGACGAAAATTTTATGAGCAAAACCATGAAATAAATTGTTAGTTAAATTTTATGAGCAAAACAGTGTAATAAATTGTTAGTTAAATTCATTATATCAAAAAATGGTATTCCGGTCTATCAATTTTCTACCAGACCATTAAAATTAATAAAAAACTAATGAATTTTTGATCTCGGTTAATTTGGTTTATATTAAAATAAGTATGTTGTAATTAATATAATGACAGTAATACATGTAGTTTGAATAAAAATATGAGTGATTGGTTCTTTTATCTTCGACTGTAATCGATGCGACCCGATGACAATCTGGACAGTGGGGATCGCAGAGCGTAGAGTAGGGTAGCGTTGCGTAGCATCGGGCAGATGTGCAGGGGGTAATACAATCTTATGGAAAATTGGATTCTGGATTTGCGTCGAGTAGTATCGGGTAGCGTCGCATAGCGTTGCATCGGGTAAGTGTGTTCCCGGCTTAAGGTGTCTTAAGAGGAAAACGTCCTTTATGAGGAGTAGGCAGTGACGTTTC